TAAAAAAAAAAAAAAAAAACGTTTATTAGTCTCCCATTGGTAAATGAAAAAAATGTAATCATAACAATAATTGTATACCTAGAACCCAAAAAAGTACAGCTCCAGCTCCAACCAGGTAAAATAATGGAAGCGAACAAATACCAATAAATCCGTACACTTGAGCAAGTGTCAATCTGTAGCTTGCAATTATTATTGCATGTTTGGAATAAATTTGAGATGCCTTGTAACAGGCAAATAGAGCTGCCACGACTGTTATCAGCAGTAGTGGCGATGTGAGACTAAAACATACCAATTGACATAAAATTAATGAAAACACTACGTATTAATGAAACTAAGTATAATTCATACTCACAGGCAATAGAGAACCAATCCAACAAAGACGAAAAAGTAGTTGCTTTGGAAGTACTCAATATTCTTCACAACACGTTTACTCAGTCTTGAGATATTTGGCGGTGGTCTAAAGTTATTGGTAGCCAGAAATACGGACCACGGCCTGAGGGTAGCTCTTCTGTGCTGGATCCACTCCTGAGCCTTTGGATGTCCAAACTGGCCAAGGGGTATTTGAATTCTGGGCAGCTCAAATCTGAAGATCGACAAATACAAAAATTCTCATCAGCTGTACTATGTATTTGACGTATCAATTATGCAGCGGAAAAAAAACAACGCTGGGTTCAATGAACTGACTCATAAAATAAAATAAACACTCACCCATTATTATCTGCAACGTTTTTTTCATAAGGATTCTCCATCTCTCCCGTAACGTTAATTTCAACATCCGTCATGTTTACTATCCGTTATACGCTCACCTATAACCTTTCCCCCGTTACAGCAAAATACCGTTCAACTTGTTCCTTTTGCAAAAAGCAGATCCGTCCCTTTAAAATATCACAGAACGATCGACAGCTGTGGGACCGCAAATACCCTCTTTCATCAAAAATAAATTAAAGTACGCATATATAAGTAAAAATCAAAGCAAAACGACACGACACACGTTGACGTCGCTTTGTCGGTTTATTTATTTTTTTCCCTCATAGTTCACACTTGTACAGCTCGACAGCTGTTACGCCCGTACTTATCAGTGTGTGTATAATGTATATACATATGTAGTATATATATATATATATATATATATATATATACACTCCCACACATAAAGGCAAATCGGAGCAGCTCTTCGCTTCGCTTATACCTCTCGGTTTACTTGTGTAAGGAGTAAAATCAGCTGGCAGCTGCACGATGATACTTTACAAAGAAAAAAAAAATCGGCAGCCTACAAAATACGTGCGCTATGCGGAAGAAAAGTCAGAGAAAAGAGACCATTTCTTTACATTCGCACAAATCTCTGGTATATTAAATTTATAATGCGTGCCATATTTGTCGAAACATTTACCATAATTTTTCGATCATGATGACAATAAATATGTTCACGCTACGAAATGCAAAATGACAAGTATTGCAACGTAACAAAAAATGAATTGTTTTTCACTTTTGTGGTTTTATTTTACATAAGTTATAAATAATACCGTTATGTCCGTGTATAAATATAATATGTGAAAAATCGATTAATTTTTGAAGAAGCGAAGTGATGCAGATATCGAGGTCAAATTAAGATAGGAATATATGTAATGGCCTCTGAGAACAATGGAATATTTTACATTCCTCTACATATTACATTGTTCCGGATCGAGAAATGATTTTTAAATTTTTATTGCTTAACTTTACACTCGTAAATACCGAAACACCTTTAATGAAAAATTACACATTCTCTCGTAAAAATATAACGGTAAAAGACACCTATTTGTTGAAAAATGTTTTTGTTGTTGCTTTTGCTCTTTTGAA